GTCATGATGCAGAAATTTTATTCAGGGTAATCGCCTAGCGTTGATCCTTGATAGTAATACGAATTGGTAGTTTCATATACTAACAATGACAGAAGCAATGACATGTTACATTCTCTATTCTGTGGCTTTGCCTTTGCGTCTATTGTTGCTGCCACTGCTCGTCTCCAGCACATAACAGACCATAGAGTCAACATCATCCCCAAAAATGCTATAAGCTTCAATAGCCTGCGTGTAAGTAAATCCCATCGACAGAACCATCTCGATGCTACTGCTCAGCACTGTATCTTCTTTCACTTCCTCTTTTGGTTTGGAATCACTGCCTGAAGGTCCTGCTTCGAAAATTTCATTCGTCTAAATATGCTTCTTTGCAGTGTATTCTATCTAGGTGAAAAGGGATTCAAAAGAAAAAGATTACTCACTAGCTCCAGAAGAGGACGTCTCAGCGTTGGAGGTAGATGATTCCTTGGCACCAATTCGTGGCTTAGACCATTCCATAAGATACTCAGCACGGGAAGCTTCCATTACCGACCGTTCAATTTCCTTCTCTGTAAGCTCAAGGTCAGAGTAATATCTCCCCTCTGCTAAGAGCGCCTGGAACAAAGACAGATATGTAAGCCATCACACACTCAAGACAGATTGGTGAATCTGATTATGGATGATATAGGCTACTTGCATTATCAATCTGATGTTCTTGCTGAGCCTTTATAGCAGCTTTCACCTGCTCCTTCTCCACATGTCTCTGAATTTAAAACAAGAAAAAGATGTGATAAACACAGATTTGCAACTTTTCCAATTTGAGTTATGCTTTACTGCAACAGTTGAACACAGAAGAGAAGTGAAAACATATGTTAACTATACTTACCCCACTAAGGCTACTAAATCCAAGTCCTGCACCAACTGTTAACCGATGTGGATCCACCAAAGAATTGTAATGATTCCCGTGGTGGTAACTCAACCTTATGGGAGGGGTATCCGTGTTGTAGTTTCCTTGAAATATGTTGATAGGCTCTATACAAAAAATACATTTTGCTTTAGTAAATTTCTTGTTACTTTAAAGAGCATGAAGAACTATTAATGTCAATCTAAGCTTCACCTGTGCTATATGAATATATGTGGATGGGCCTATTATACATTTCTGCTAAAGCTTGGATCTCTACATTGTTTCCATAGACCTATCACCATTGTTTATTAGAGGGGTCACGCAGATTGTTGAAAAAAAAAGTAAACTACGTGAAGACATGAATAAGAGCAAGGCACCTTATCTCTTCTTTTCCTCTTCAAGTAAGAGGTAAAACCTTCAGTTATGAACTGCGAAAAGTGATCCCTCTCTTGTTCCTAAACCATCCATTGCGAAAACAATAAGTTATACTAATTGTTACCATCAACACTAAAAACACTGCTTCTGTGCTAGGACCAAATCAAGGTACATGCAGAAAAACGATTAGATTAACAGCATATCATAGTTTATGAGGTATATTCGCATACAAGTACATCCAAGTTGTTACTCCCTTTGTTTTATTCCCCTTTACCTAAGATTGATGCTGTATTGAACCACAACACATAGTCATATATTACTAACCATGAAAACGGAAAGAACTCTGCTTTAATTATTATTCCTTTCTTGGTGGAAGGATGAGCAGAATGCAACATAATGTCTACGAAACAGGGTGAATAACCTATCTACAAGACACAACCTTAGCAAGTTAACTTCATTCATGGATATTCGAATAAATCTTTCCTGGGCGATGTTCTCAAATGCAAGTCAGTTCGATAATCTAATGCATGTACTGGTCTCAAATTCTAACATCTCGGGGAAACCACCTAGTTCGGAAAACAGAATTACCATGTAATCCAAGCACATTTGTCTAGTCAAGTCATATGACTCTGAGTCTCCATATACTTGATCTGCAACAGCTCGAAAAAGACAATTTCCATCTTCTAACATCCGCCTAATTTCAAAGCCTTTGGATTGTCTAATCTCGGTTTCAAACTGGTGTTCTCTTTCCTGTGAGAGAGCATGTAAGTAAATTCATTGAAAATAAAGGCATATAGAACAAGCTAAGAATCCATAAACACTTTTATTTCTAAAAACAAACTTACCGAGCCAGAGCCAGGATGAGAGGGCACAAAGCATGGCATATGCTCATCAGAACTGTTATAGCCTTCGTTCTCACTGTGTGATCTAGGAGAAGAAGGATGTGATCCAGTTGGGGAAGTCCTAGCAGAAACAAGAGAGCGAGGTCCAGCTCCCCTTCCTGTTGCTCCAATTCGTAAAGCACCAAAACATCCTAAGACTGATCTCTTATTAGCAGTCGAAGAAGGCTTTGGTGGCGGAACAGGGTCATTGCCACCACTAAGTGGGGAATCACAAACTATAGCTTCACCTTCAACCTGAAGATTTTCAGAAACTAACAACGCTTCGTCATATTCTGTATCCACAGTTTCATCACCATGCGCTGATACATTAATAGCATCATCAGAACACTCGGCTTGTTCAACTACAGTAGCTTCTTCTTGTTTTTGACCCGTAATCTCTTCATCAACAGTGAGCTGGATATTACTGTCAACCTGTAGCTCTGAAGAAGATGAGGAAGAAGGGCGGTTGGGGTTGGAAGAAGTGCCTCGTTGAACCAAAATCCGAGTCATTTTTGCTTTGGCTTATAAGAAAGAAAAATGAGAATTAGAGATGCTCCCAAGGTTTGTCCCTGGTTCTTGCTTTAGGGCCTACGATGACAATCCCTTGAGAGAGGGATTCCTTCCAGCCGTTATCCACCTCGCAGCAAAACGTTCTCTGCATTCCCCTAGCAATCATCAAGATTCCAACTTTTAGCTAATTTCTTGGAAACACCTTTACTAGCTCAAAGGCCGGCCATAAAAGTTGGAAATCAATCAATCTATTCAAGTTCCCATCTTTTTCTTGATTCAAAATCAATCAAGACAGACGAACGGCGGAAATCGAGACCAGAGATTAGGGAAACTAACCAGAGATTTCAGCAGCTGGATCCGAGATCGACGATTAGGGTTTTCGAGAGGAATTTTGGTTAGAGATGGCCTTCTTTTTCTTTTTCTTTTTCTTCACCGTCGTCGTTGGTAGAGATGGCCGTCGTGCTCACGTGGACTCACTCAGGCACCTTCATCGGTTCTTTAACACGTGTCTTCATCGCACCGGCTGCTTCTCACTATGCTTGTTCCAGATTTCCTTATGCCCGGAAAATTTGGTCCAAATTATCTACTACAAACCGAAATAACCGAACCGAGCCAGATCGATTATGTTAAATTATCTCAACGGTATTTATCTCTTAAAAGTTTGGGTACCAGAATCGAACCCAACACTAAACTGGAAATCAAATGGGTATTCGAAATATCCAAACCATAAATTAGTCTAAAGATTTTTCGGTAATAGGTCGGATATATTCAAACAGTTCTAAATTTTTTTACAATTTCCTTTTGCTATTTTTCTGTTATTTCGGCTGATTAACTGAAAAAGGAAATCAAATTG